TTATAAAAACAGAGCTTCTCATTAACAGGACTCTGTTTTGTAGATGAATGTTTCCAGTTTCCATAAATGGCTATCTTTCACAAGCCTTGAGATGCTTGCAGTATTCTATTTTGCAGGATCCAATCAGGATTGGTCACCGGGATTAGAGGTTTAATCTTCTGAGCTTTCAGCAACAGCCCATCTTCAGGGAACTTCTACCAGAGAAGTGTGTACAGCAATATAATTAAAGACTTGGAGTGACATCTAAATTGGGAGTGAATCCTTAAAATATTACTTGTGGCACTATAATATTTAAATTAATATTGTTTTTGTATCAGCACTCAATAAATTGAATTAAGAAAGAGCAAGACAGTTACTAACGTTATGGTAAGTAGTATACATTGTATAACCCTTATGTATTATATGCATCAAATCAGAGTACACGTGGAAGAATTCATTCAGATCATTCTAGTAAAACATATTATCTTTTCTGAGCCAGACAAAATATGCAGTGGCTGTTAAAATGTGAGTGACTTAAGCATAATTGTCTAACAAAGTGGTCTTCAAAGTATGCTATTGGCATGAACATTTGTTGGCATGGCATGCTATTTCCCCCCTAATGCTCAATAGTGATGGAGTGCTCTGAAGATTATGCTATCATGAAATCTTGTGAGCTAACAAAATGACCTTAATGTTGCTGTGGCAATAGGATGGCAAATTGATTGACCATCTTTTTAAAAATACACACAAATGACTGCGATCATTGTCATTTCTTTTTTTTTTTTTTTTGCCTTGGTAACAAAAAAACCCCAATATGATCAAAAGTCCCTGAGTCATGTATTTAAATATCTGTACAGAAAGAAAAAATGTAATAGGTACAGAGAACCACTATTAAGCACTGATTCAAATGTAGCGATTTTTGTCCTTGTAAGAAGTAGCACTCACATTCATTCATAGTTACATTTCAGCAATTTATAAGCCGCTCAGTTCTGAAATAGTTCTAAGCCTTCTCTATAACAAAACGATATATGAGTACTAAGGATCATTATATTTTTGCATTGATTCAGAAGATCTTCTTTGTTTAGCTTAGATTGAAAATAAAAGACTTTGTTTTCATAAACTCTTAACTTGGTAATGTGTAATATTACAGCTTAATGTCTGTTTATCTGACACAAGAATTTACCAGGTAATCCTTGTTTAGTGAATGTTTCATTTAGCAAAAGTTCACAATTATGACAGTGATGAAAAAGTAACTTTATGGCTAATCCTCACATATTTAACTTTTGCAGATCTGTAAAATGAAGGAAAGCTGAAGTAAGATCATTAGCAGAATTACATTTCATTTAGCAACCACCACTTTGGTTAACATCTGAGTTGCCAGTCCCAACTATGGTGCTAAAAATGGACTACCTGTATAATTTACTCACACAAACTACATGTTTTGATGAATTAAATCTAGAACCTGCCTCACCAAAGCAGGTTGCAGCACCAGCCATTGGTTCTAAATCCCTTTTAGAATCATAAAATTTATCAGCTGCCCAACGGTAATGCTGATTCTCTTCTAAATAAAAAATTAAATCATTCTGATGAAACATTAAACCATTGGCTTGCCTATGCTTAAGTGGATGCTTGTGTTTCTAGATTGGCAAATGTAAGAACTGCAGAAAGATTTGTATTTGATTTAGTTACAATGCATCTAACATTTATAGCCTTGTGCCACTGACAAACATCCCCAGGACCTAAATCTGAGAGCACAGCCAGTGCCCAACTTATATAATTGAACAAATGCATTTTTTAAAAAAATAAATAAATATTCTTGTGTCATAAGAATAAAAAATTTGTCTTTG